GGCTTGCTACTGCTGTTCATTGTAGTTTGTTGCTGCTTCTCTTTGTTTGACTTGCCATGGGATCCTCTGGCATGTCACCCTGTCTTGGAATCAGCCAACTATTAACTCAAATCTATACAATCTGTGAGTTGCAATAAAACTTTTCTTTTTTTAACTTGTGCATTTTGGATATTTTGTCACAGTAATGAAAAATATAACTAACACACATTTTGGTATCAGACAAGTAGAGTCTGCTTTGATGCTACCTAGCAATGTGATTCAGAAGCCTTTGGACCCAGGTTCTAGAAAATCTGGTAGATTAATCAGTCTGATTTTGAAATAGTGGTATGGGAATTGTTGGAGGCTTTTAGGCAGATTTATGAGTAAAGAGCTCAGCAGAATGATTTTGAATATTTTGAGTACAGCCAGAAAGGAAGCTCTGGAATTAAAAAAGTAGCATAGTAGAATTTAGTTTTCAAGAAGGAAATGGAAAATAGAAAAGATAGCCCAAGGACATAACAAGGATCAAGAGGGTTCCACCCCATGCAAACTCAAAATTGCAAAGGTGAAAGAGTTTGTGAGACCATCATATTTTAGAATGAAGCTACACAGGGAATTTGTTCTTTGGGACTGGATCCATAGCATCAAGCAATTCAGGCACTCATCATCGCAAACAAGAGAGAAGGAAGCCTATTTATTGCTCCAGGTAAAAGCAGGCCTTAGTAAAATCATTGTGGTGCTGGTTTTAGGTTAATTTACACTGCAAGAGTTGTAAGGTCAAAAAGGCTTCCACCAGGTTTTGGAAGAAGGCCTGTAAGCATTATTAGAGAAAACAATCCAAAAATTCATTTGAAACAATAGATCTAGAATAGCAAAAGAAATTCTAGGCAGCAGACACATGGTAGGGTGTGTCATAATCCCCAATGTAAAACTATACTACAAAGCCACTGTGAGAAAAAGAACATGTTATTAGCAAACAAACCCAAGGATCAGTGGAATAGATTAGAAGATGCAAAAACAACTCCCAACATACTCAGCTACCTCATCTTTCACAAAGGAGCCAACCATCCTCACTGGAAGAAAGATAGCTTCTTTAATAAATGGTTTTGGAAAAAGTGAAATTCAACTTGCCAAAGATTAAAACTAGACCCCTATCTTTCACCATGCACTAAACTAAAATCCAAGTGGATTAAAGATCTAAATAGTCACCAGGGATTTAGCTCAACAGTTCGGTGGACTGCCTTGCAAGCACAAGGACACGAATTCAATCCCCAGGACCAAAAGAAAAAAGATCTAAATAGTCAAACAAAAACAATAAACTTGCTGGAAGAAATGTTAGGTAGAACTCTTGAAGACACTGGCATAGGAAACCCTAATGGGGTGGTTAGACTTTTTACATCTTCTTCATTCAACTTTGGAAGTTCATATGTGTCTAGGATTCTGTCCATTTCTTCTATATTTTGCATTTTATTAGAGTATAGGTTTTCGATGTAAGTATTGATGACCCTCTGGATTTCTGGAGAATATATTGTGATTTCACCTTTTTCATTCCAAATTGCATTAATTTGAGCCTTCTCTTTCCTTTTGTTGACTTGAGGGTTTTTGTTGAAAAATCTGATGTGATTCTGATAGGCATGTGATTTGTTTCTTTTCTCTAAGTGCTTACAGTAATTTGTTCTGTTGGGTTTCTGGAATCTTGATTATTATATGTCTAGGTGTAGATTTTTTTTATTATGGCTGATTGGAGTTCTAAATGCCTCACTTATCTGTATGTCAAATTCTTCCCCTCTGGGAAGTTTGCTGTCATTAATCCTGTGAACAGCTTTTTTACATAATTTGTACTTTCTCCTGCTACTACATCAATTCCTAACAATCTTATATTATTATTCTTTGTGTCATCTAAGAGTTGATGGATTGATTTCTCATAATCCCTTACTGTTTTTAAAAGATCTCTCTTTTTATGGTCACTGACTGCAATCCTATCTTCTATATCTGAAATTTGATCTTCACATTCATTCATTCTGCTGCAAATGCTTTCTATAATTTTTTTGTTTGTTTTTTCTCATTTTTCCCCTTACTCCTGCCCTCCCTTCACCCCCTCCTCCCCTCCCCATCTACAAACACTTTATTTTCATCTTTTCATTATCTCACATTTTTTTCTTTTCCCTTATTACCCTTCCCCTACCCATCCCACCTTCCCTACACCTTTAGCTCCTTTCTTCTCATTTCTAAATGACAGTAATCTTATTAGGATCTTATGTTTTATTGCAGATTATTCACACCGGGGAAACTATTCGGTATTTACACATGTGTGACTTATTTATTTCACTTAGGAGTATATCTTCAATATGTATCCATTTTCCTATGAAGCTTTCTATAATTTTTAATCTTCTGCATATTTGTTTGAATCTGTTTCATGAATTTCATTTCTTTCCCATGTTAGGCATTCAAGGTTTCCATTTCTTTCCTATGCTGGGCATTCATGGTTTCCATCATGATTGTGAGCTCATGTATTTTTTTATCTGTTTCTGTTCTAGCATCTTTCATCATGTCTTTCATTTTTATCACCATCTCTGTGTTTATCTGGAAAGTTATTTGTGTTTTGAACTTTTCTAGAGCCTCATTCATCTGTTTTTTTTGTTTTGTTTTGTTTACTTCCTCTGATATTGGTTCATGGTGTCCAGATGGTTGACTGTCAGATTTTTCCACCTCTTTTTTCCCAGAGTTTACCTTTGGTGAGTTGGAAGTCTGTGTTTGTGCCTTGTTGAAATGTCTTCTTATTTCTATTTGTGTTATTGGTACTGTCCTTGGTTTAATTCCTGGGTTTATACTTTGATCTTTCAGATATATCTGGTCTTTAATTTTGAGTCTCAAATGACTGAGACAATCTCATATTCATTATACCAGGGAGGAAAACTGATCAGATCAATCACAACACCTTAGCCCAATTGATAAGTCAGCAACACAATCACATCAAGCAAAGCTTAGAAATGACAGTTTGTGGTAGTTATTAATCTTTCACCTTTAACTATGGGAATTAAGTCAAAATTGAGGACCAGCCCAAAATATGTTCATAGGGAATAAACTCTTCAATATAGCAACTTTACCCTTCAGGATGGGAATTTAGAAGGAGTTGGACAGGGAGGGATAGATAAATAGGACAAAGAAAAATTAGAAGTGAGGTCATAAGACATGAGATGATCACACAAACATTAGGAAGCTGTTGAAGAGAAGAGGAGAATACAGAACAAAATATACACAAGAACAGAACAAATTAACAGCAATATGGAGGCTAGGGATAGTAAACACTTTCTTTTAAAACTAATGGCAATTGAGAGAAGGAAAAGGAAAAGAAAATGAAAAGAAAGAAAATGAATTTGAATTAGGATAGGAACAAGAATAAAAAAGGAGAAAAATGAAGATCAAGGTAGAAGACAAAGTGAAAGAAAGAAAAGAAGATAAAAAGGAAAAAAATGAGAAAAGATAAAGATAGGTAAAAATTTTTAAATGACTAAAGATAAGAAAAAGAATTTTCTTTGAAAATAAAAATACAAATAAAGATAGTGGGCTTCCTTTAGGGTATACCTCTTTTGACACAATACAAAGTGTGAGGAGTGTGCAGATCTATGTTAATCAGTCTCAGCAAGCCAGCAGCTGTTCTCTGAGGTTCAGGCTGATTTCTGTCTGCAAAGCCCAAGTTGAGATATCTGACCTCTTGCTGTGTTGAACTCTGCAAAATTCTACTGCAGGTTTCAGCTATCATTCCCCTGAAGTTAGACCAGGTTCCAATATGAGCTGATGTTCCCTCTGACTTATCAACTATGGTGGTGTGGTGTGCCTATATTGCTGAGATTTTCTTCACTTTTCCAGTGGGCTTCAATTTTCATCTAGGAGCCTCACAGAGGTCCTCTTTCTCTTGTTCACCAGGGGTGGAGGTCACAGGAACTTCTCTGTTGGTTCCCACATTGCTGGGCTCCTCTGCCATGCTGGGTGGAAGGGGCGGACCTACCAGAGTGTCTCACACTGCTTCAACGATCCTCTGTTGCTCCATGCCAAAGAGGTGGGCCCACCATAGAGTCACAAGCTGCTGCAGGTGTCCTCTGCCACACTGGGCCAAAGGGGTGGGCTTACCAGAGTGTCTCATGCTGCTGCCATGCTCCTCTATTGCTCCATGTTGAAGAGGCAGCCCCACCAGAAGCTATTGTAATAATTTACATTTTCCAAAATCTTTTTGGAAAGTTACCTTTTCTCCACATCTTACCACTATTTGTCATTTAAATTTTTTTCTAATTTGTATTACATATCTTATTGTTGCTTGACTTCCATCTATCTGATTGTTAATGATATTGATAATTTTTCATTAACTAAACTTTTTTTTCAGTTAAGTTTATTGGTATGATTTATGTATACAATCCAGTTACAGTCATCTTTGGAATCTTGTACCTTTACATAATGTATCTTGGTTTTTATTTTATCCCAATTCCACTGCTCTCTCTTCGCCCTCTCCACCCTACCTATTCACAAAGACTTTGTTTCCATGTTTTTCCTTTTCTCATGTTTTTTCTTTTCCCTTTTTACCTTTCTCCTACTTCTCCGAGTTCACCTACTTTTTACAACTTTGCTTCCTATTGCACAATATCAATTATCTCTTTTGATCCTTATTTACACTTTTAGATTTTCACACCAGAGATACTATTCAGTATTTACACATGTGTGTCCTATTAATTTCAATTAAGAGTATCACCTCAATGTGCATCCATTTAGCTATAAATGTCTCAAGTTTCTGGTTCTTTATGGCTGAGTAGTATTCCTATACATATAGGCGCATCTTCTTTATCCATTCTCCAGTTGTTGGGCAATTGGGCTGTTTCCAAGTTTTAGCTATTACAAATTGTACCGCTATAAACATGGGTGCACATATATCACTGTGGTATGATTCTTCTAAATCTTTTGGGAATATACCCAATGGAGGATTAGCTAAACTTTAAAAAACCTTATTGTGTTTTCTTTCTCAATCTTAGGAACCTGTGAAGTTTGTGGATCTGCTTGGTGACCATGGAAAGCCTATCAATCCTCTGTGGGAATTGATAAAATGGTGTTTCGGTGTGTCAGTGTATACTATTCCGTCCATTGGTATGAAGGTCAACTTCTTTCCTAGGCTGTTTGATATATTTGGGGAGGAAAGTGCATTCTACCAAAAGTATCTTAGTGAGAACCACTTTCATTGTTTGATGAAATCTACAACTACAAATAAATAAATTAACACCAACTCTATTCTGATCAATCCCTATGTGTAAATCTCTGTAATTTGCAACACATCTATTATGTTGACCATTTTATAGAAGCACTCTTCAAACACTGGTATAACAAACTAAAAAAAAGTATTGTTTTCCTATGTGTTATATCACAATATGAAAATATGAAATTTGCAATACACATTTGATTTTTGAATTCAGAAATAGCCTCACTTTAGAAAATTTTTTAATTACCCCTGCCAAAATGTCATCTACTGATAATGCACAGTAATTTCAGTTTAGCAGCTTAAAAATTTACTTTGATTAACACACACTTATTAGAGTTGATGATTGTTTTGATTGTAAAACCTACTTTTTGAGTGCCAGAGTGTCAGATATTAGATTTTTGAAACCTTTGTACTTAAATATTTAGGGAAGCAAGTCAGATATTAAAGGTATTACTTTTTATGTTAAACTGAAGTAATTGAAGTTGGGTTAGTTATTTTAAAATCAAAGACTAATCATAAATTTTGCAAATGTTACTTAGCTTTTCTTCCATTCTGTTGTTCATACCATCAGAGGTTCACTTTTCTTGCATTTAAAATGAAATTAATAAAGCATTGCTACTTATGTACTTGAGTACATTAAATAATACACTTCATTGCATTTTCTTGCCAGTTAAAAGGGACTGTGCTTCAAAAGGATGTGAGACACTGCCTAGTGCTGTATGTGCTGGAAATTTTTACTTTATTAGTAAGATCAGGAACTGATCTGAGAACATTTAAAAGCTCAATAAATGAAAACTACTTTATTACTTTATTATCAACATAAAGTTACATTTTATGAAATGTCAATTATTCAAAAGTGTTGTGTTTTCAATGACAATGGTACTCTTATAGCACCAAGAAAATGCATTAAGGACAAGGAATATTCACAGCACTCATTTGAAAGTATCTGTCAGAATTAAGTTCCTTCAAAGGAGTTTTTATGACAGTCAAGTAACTAATATTCTCTCTCATGTCATAAAAACTGCATAAAAATAGTATAGTGCTATGAAGTCTTTAAACAACTATTTACTTCCCCGATACTAGTTTAACATAGACAAAAATCACATTTTCTCATGCCAAATAATTCAAAATTTTTAATCCCTCTGTTCTGGAGAGATACCCAGGCTAGTATGTTTTTTGATAACTAATTAAAATAACAACTCCAAATAGAAGTAACTGTGAAGTCTTTTTCACTCTAACAAAAGATAAAACTATAGAAGCAAAAAAAGCCCTTCCCTATCTGCCATTTTCTCTCATGGAACTTTACTCAACTGAGGAAGCCTGGTGTGGTGCTGCATGCTTAAATCCCAATACTCTTTGAGGCTTAGGCAGGAGGATCACAAATTGAAGCCCAATCTGAGCAACTTAGCAAATTATTAAGACCATATCCCAAAAATTAAAATTAAATATAAGCTAGAGATGTAGCTCATTGCAGAGACTATGGATTCAGTCACTGGCTCCACACACTCATGCACAAAAAGACCAAAGAGTCCAGAGGTTTTAGATAGGAATGGAAATATGCATAAAATCATGACAGGCCAAGGAAACTGAGACTTTGAGTATATGACATTAAAAATTGTAATGATTTGACTGTATCGTATATCTCATTTTATGAGGGCAGCATTCCCCTGTGAGGTGTGCCAGAGAGAGCTTTTTAAATTATCTGTGGTTTGGTTTGACAATGAGACATATGATTTTAGTTACTAACTAGATTCTTCAGTAAATATATCTTAAATTATAGATAAAATTGTAGGATTATTCACAATAAGAAAAATTAGAAACACCCTATGCATATAAACACAGTGGAAGAGGCACTAAGTTGAATATATAGAATAGAACTGTATGCAATCATTTAAAGCCAAGTTTATCACAATGTACTAATACCATGAGAATTATAATGGTAAGTGGAAATGTGGTAGCTTGAATATATAGTATAAGCTATTGCATGGGGCTTATTAGAGTTTAGCACATAAATTAAATGTAATACTAAGTTTATGATCACTTCTACTGAGAAGTGTATGTTTGTGTAAATTTTTAGTATATGTGCTGCTGAAGAAAGCACTGTTTGTGTAAATTTGTATACTAGAAATTTCTTTGATATTCTATGACTTACAAGTTCCTTTCATAATGGAAAAATATCTTGTGTATTAAAATAAGTAAAGTTTATTTTTAAATATATAAATATTTTATTTTAATGTCTATTACTTATAAGTGAGCTTAATGTAAACAACAGGGTTAAATATGTTTGTGTGTATGATGTTTTAAATCATTAAAATCTTAATACATTGTTTAGAATCCCCTAAAATGTAATTTCTTTTATAAAACTTCTTAAGAATTTTGTACCTGAAAAGACATTTATTACATAAATTATTTTGTTTAAATAGCCTACATAGTAAAAATTCATGGGATCGTTAAAAAATAATGTATTAGATTTTACAATTAAAATAAGATGTATCAATAATTATATAATGGTATTGTAGTGATGTGAAAGCTTCAATGATAAAATACACTATGGGAATTTGTAGGGACTCTCTATATATCACTGCATAAGAAAGACTTGACAGAGTTAGCAGTAAATAGTCAAACTACATAGTAAAAATTCATGGGATCGTTAAAAAATAATGTATTAGATTTTACAATTAAAATAAGATGTATCAATAATTATATAATGGTATTGTAGTGATGTGAAAGCTTCAATGATAAAATACACTATGGGAATTTGTAGGGACTCTCTATATATCACTGCATAAGAAAGACTTGACAGAGTTAGCAGTAAATAGTCAAAAATATACAATACAAAAAGTTTAAACAGATAGAAGAAAGTCTCCACAAAGAGCTGGTGGAGATGTTACGTGATGATGGTGTGTTCTTATATCCTTCACATCCCACAGTAGCTCCCAAGCATCATGTTCCTTTAACAAGGCCTTTCAACTTTGCTTACACAGGTACCAAATTGTACTACTAGCATTTTGTAATCTTAAAGAAATGAAAATGTGTTCAAGTATATAATTTCTTTTTGCTATGGTCCAAGTTTTATCATATGATGATTGAGAACAAATTGTCAAAACACTTGCTGGTATCTCACATGAAAGATAGTTTGCTAATAACTAGTATTTTCAGAACACTAAAGTTGCTACGAATTTTACAGAAGTGATTCTTAGGAAGATGTGATCTAACTGAATCCAAAGTCTTTCTTGGCTGCTCCTCCACTTTGTAAAGACAAACTAGACTTTGTTCCAGGACATGTAGCTTCTCATAAGATTCTAGAACAGACGATAATTTTTCAAGGGAACATTTATTTCCCTTAGTTATAATATCTTCTAAATTTTATTAATTCAATTATTCACTCAACTCATTTTTTTTCAATTAGTTTAGGCACTTTAGCTGGACCACAGTTATGTGAGTTCCAAAAGCCCCCAGATATGCACTGGGTCCCTTTATGTGATTTATTCAGGGTCTCTTCTAGGAAATAACACTAACACTACTCTCTGAGATTAAGATGGAAGCATCCTCATTAAATATACATTAACATTCTAGAAATCCATGGTCCACTTAAACTTGGAATTTGTAGTCCTACTTGTGTAAGTTCAAAGTTTCAGCAATGGCACCATCTTAGAGCAAGACACTAAAACTTTCTGAAAGTATTTTCTCTTCTAGGAAGTCTACAAGATTTCTGTCAAGATTAAATTAAATAATGTGCCAAAAATAATTAGCATATGAATTTTGGAGAATTGTCATAGACAGATTATAAAATGCCAGTTCATCTCCTTTATTTTTTCATGCAAATTCTATTTCTTGGCTTCAGTCATTCACATCCAATTCTTTGTCTCTGAAGTAAGTTTGCTCCCTTTCTGTTTCATTAACTTGCTAGTCAAGTTCTTAAAACAGCGAAAATATTTTAGCATATAGGAAATAACATGAAAAAGTTATGATAACAGCCATTTGGGGAAATTTTCCTCAGTTTGAATTTTATTGAAATTTAAAACTTTTCCTTTTATTTCAGTCATAAACATATGTGTAGCATGAATAGAAAGCCTAAAGATATGGATAAGATCTTCATAATAAATACAGTACCAGCTGTGATTTAATGACTACCAAATGTGTGCCAGATAATATGTAATATGGTCCTGGCCTGTGAGCCACTACAGCATAAGGCAAATTCAAGAGAAGACAGAAATGAGACTTAAAGTGGAGAAGCTAAGTCTTGGGTCCTGGTCAGTGTTGCTGATGGCAACAAAGACAAAAGGCCCTGAGCATATCCAGTATTTCTTGAATACAGTTATTTGAAGGAATAGGGATCTAGGGAGATTTAAAGTCATCTAGTGAATTCCTGTCAAATACCTGGCATGATGGCACAAGACAAGGCTGTCAGGGAGTAGGTGCTGCTTACCTTGCAAGGATAGAATAAACTGGTACTGGGGATCAGGTGTATCTAGCAAGTAACCCACAAGGTCAGTGAGAAGCAGTAATTCAGGGGATAGGATTATCATGAGGTCACACTGACCTAAGCTGCAAATAACTTAGAAGAGCCCTACCACTTCACTCCAGGACTTAGGCCTTGGTGACAGTCATTAGTAAAGGAGCCAGACTAGCCGAACTTTGCTAGCTGACATGCCCTTTTTAGTCACACAGAGCTTCAGTCTGACTCCTGATATAAAACAGTACAGCTGAATTAGGGAAGGCAAGAAGCACATGCCATTCATAGACCCCTAGGAAGGGATGTCTCCTACATATTCCCATTCTTGAAACACAACAAATATTCTAATACACTGGTGTGAGGGACATATTTGCCCTAGAAAACTTGCTTCATCACTCAGAGTGGTTGAAAACCAGGACCCTTCAGTGCTCAGGCTTCTATAATATTGGTGTTGTCATATGGAGTGAAATTGAGGTTGCCATTCTAGAGAACTCACTGATCAGGTTATGTGCCCTTTGAGGCCAAAATTATGAAAATTGTGGTCAACATGGAGGGACCAATCTGGTTCCCACTGCCCCATGCCACATTCAGGTTTCTGTTGCTGACAGGATATAGAACACCAAAGCTCCCACAGCAATCCTACGCCTAGGAATGTGCTGAGTGGTCCTGAGCAATTGCTGCAATTTTAGCTATCACTGTATTTTTATGCTCATGAGGCCAAAGGTAACCAAGAGGAAATTTGCCTAGCTCCAGCCACATTCTTGTTCTTACTGGGGAAAAAGCTTGGGTAGTGACTGATGTTCTGTTCCTGGGTGAGCACTGCAACTGAAGCATTTGGGGGAATCAGAAGTTATGGTCCAGCACACACCATGGCTCCATATGTCTGTTGACAAACGAAACACCAGAGATTCCAGCCATCTCCCTCTATACAAGCATGTGCATGCAAAGGGGATGAAAGTAAAACATTACCTGAGGATGACTACATTCCCACTGCTATCCATAAACTACAGATGAATGAGTTGAGAAAAACGTTATGACATCAACCATTACCTGATCCTGGGTATTCAAAGTAGCTGAAACTTTTGGAACATAAAAAGCCACAGCAGAAACAGCTGCACTGTTCCCATGTACCTGCTGCCCCTGGGAAGCTCTAAGAAATATAAGTGGTTTCTGAAGCTGCCTTATCCAGTGAGATTGAATTGCCACTGAAGGAACAAATATAAACATAACAGTTTATGCTGCTACTCCATCTGTGTGGTTCCCAATGCCACTTCACCTCTGCACCATGTCTGACCATGAACTGCTGTCAGTGCTAGGTGTGAATGCAACAAAATTACTACTGTGGTTACTACCACCAATTCTACCCATGTAACACTTGGGCCTGCACAACTGACTGCTAGCAGGACAAATACTTCCACTCCCTCACCAATGCTGGCTGGGTCTGTGCCAGTGGCTCTTGCTAGTAGAAGAACTTATATCTGGAGGAAACTTCATACCCCAAATGAGGCACCTGTATTGTAGGATCAGCTAAAGAACAATCATCCCATACCCACTACTGTACACCTGAATGAACTGTGAATTGTTCCTACTTTAGTTTGAACAACAGAGTGAATGAGTCTCTATGAATCTGCCATGGTATACACTGTACCCAAAGCCATTAATAAAATTAATAAAATTAAAAGCAGCAACAGAAGAACTGCATTAAGTTTATCAGCTGAAAATAAAGCCAACAAACAAACACGCCAAAACCCAACTTTGGGAGAAATATATTAACAAAAATGGCCACTACACAAATTAGTACAGATAGCTGACTCTTCCCATGCACAAATTTCAATGAAAAAGCACAAGAAATGTGAAAAATAAAATCAAGCTAATAGTGTACCTCCAAAAGAATATAAAAAACTCTATCAAGAGATAAAAAAGAAACCTGTATAAACAAGATGCCTCATGAGTAATTGACAGAATAAATATAAATATAGCTTGATGAGATGTAGATAATTTGTACATTGTTAAATGAAATTAAGAAAACAGTGTAAGATATAAAGGAGAATTTTAGCAAACAGATTCAGAAAAAAAGCAGAAATCTTGGAAATGAAGAAGTCAAAAACTCAAACAAAAACTATAGGTATAAATCTGAACTACAGACTACATCAAGTGGAATAAATATTTGAACTTGAAGAAAGTTCTTTTGAAATATCTCAGAAGAAAAGTAGTGCAAGAGAGACTGTGGGAAGAAGGGAAAGAGGGAGTAAGGAAAGATAAAAGGAAATGAAGGAAAGAAAGAAGGAAGAAAAGAAGAAAATTCCTTTCAAAACTCTTGGGACACTATGAAATGGAAAAATATTTGTCTGATTTTCAAAATCCAGAAGGTGTGGAGAAAAATATTAAGAGCATTAAAAAACCTATTAAATGAATTAATACCATAAAACATCTCTAATCATGGAAAAAGTATGCACAGCCACATAGAGAAGACATATAGTGGAATTAGAGTTAATAATTCCAAGGAGATATAAACAGAAAATATCTTCAACACAAAATATTTTAGGCAGACGTTCAAAGTATAAGAAAAAGACAAAAAAGAAATAGCAAAAATCAAACCATAAATCATCAAACTACAAAATGATGAAAAGGAGAGAAAATAAATATGTAAAAGTAAGAGAAGATAAATTAATAAAAATTCTAAGACTAAATCCTTATCCCTAAACCATAACTTTGCATTTAAACAGAATAAGTTTTTTTTTTCATTGAGTTTATTGGTACTTTTTAAGTATACAGTACAGTTACATTTATCACTTGGATCTTGTACCTTTATATGACATCATTTATTAGAGTTTTTATGTCTTCTTTGTTCAGTTTTAGTAATTCATATATTTCTAGGAATCTGTCCTTTCATTGAAGATTCTCTAATTGTTTGAAGTACCTTTTTCATAGTAGTTACTAATGACATTTTTCATCACTAATTGCATTGATGTGAACCTTTGCTCTCCTACTTTTGGTTAAGGGTGGATTAGGGATTATTTATTATATTTATTCTTACAAAGAATCAGTTTTTTATTTATTATTTCTTTGTCTCATTATTTATCAAATTTTGTTAATTTTTTCCCCTGATCTCTATGATGGCTCTGCTTAAACTAGTCTTTGGTTTCAACTTTTTTTTGTAGGATTGAGAGGTACATCATTAAGTTACTTATTTTAGCTCTCTATGTTTTTCTAACATGAGCATTCATGTAAATAAACTTCTTTCTTTGAACTGTTTTATTGTTTTGCTGGCATTATCATTTGATTCTAAGAATTATTTAATTTCTTCCTTGATTTCAGATATGACCCATAGAGTGTTAAGGGATGTATTATTTAATTTCTAGGTAGAGTAATTTACATGTGATGGTGACAAGAATGTGTATTTGGTTTTAGGTTAGAACACTCTGTTATAACTATAGTTCATTTGATGATGTGGTACAGCTCTGATATTTCTTTGTTAATTTTTTTGTTTAGTTCATCTGTCCCTTTATGAAAGTAGGTTATTAAGTT